CTTCACACTTCGACTTCAACTTCAGTCTTCAGACTTCTAAACTCTAATTAATGCATATTATATATATAATTCTAAGAAATATTATGTTAACCGCTATTTCCGATATATCACCGATATATCACCGATATATCACCGATATAACCGATATATCGAATATCGGTCCTGACCGATATTTCGTATTCTGACCGATATAACAACATAGGCCCTTGCTTCTTCCCTTGGTTCGGTGGTTCCTCCTTTGCCTATTGTAAATCAACCACCACTGCTCTGTTCTACCCTATGCTTGATGTAGTAATTATTTGGAACTTGATGTTCAATGTGTTTGATGTGTGCATTCAATCTGCCTCTTACTCGATGTTTTTTTATTCGTTTTAGATTTGATTCACTTTCACCTTATCAAATGACTTGAAATCCCATAAAAAAAACACATGAATTGGTTGGATTCTTTCCTTCTTATCGTCTATGGTGGTAGCATGGGTTTTGGTCATGTTCAATAATTTGGTAACAAACACTATAATATGCTGGGAATTGAAAAGAAGCTGCTGTGGTTGCACAGTGATAGGAGAATGAAGCATTATTATTGGAGTTTTCTATCAGATTAATGTTTGAACTGTCACTATAGTGTTACCAGTGGACATATTGGCCAGTTTGCATGATATAAAATTGTGATCTCATAGCTCTTATGTTATGTGTAAGAATGTTTTTTCTGCCAAATTCTTACCCACCATATAGTGATCATATTTTAGTTTTTGCTTCATAGCTCTTATGTTATATGTAAGAATGTTTATAGATATGATACCATTGAATTAGTTTTTCTGCCAAATTCTTACCCACCATATAGTGATCATATTTTAGTTTTTGCTCTTTTGATGATTTCCATTTCCATGGAGTCCTATGTTTGGATCAGTGAAGTGTATGCCACTTGCATTTAATTGCATTGGATATATGTAGAGTAATTAAAAATAGAGTAGGATTTGGGTAGATACTGGAGTTTTGTTGTCTGAGATGGAGCAGCATTATGGTTCTTTTGTGGGTAAAAGGGGAATAATAGCACCACAATTCCTTTTGATGTATGTATGTATGTATATTGTGGTTTAGCTCATGCATTTCTCTTTTAACATTGCAAAATCTATGGCCTTGCAAGGCTTGGGCATGGGAAGTGTTTGACACAATGTGATATATGGTACTTTATAATTTTTGTAATTTATTTGTGCATGTAATTATCAATTCAGAACACTTATCAGACAATTATTTTTCATTCAGCATTACATCATATAAAAGGGTAAGTTTTTGTCATTAAGACTGTTCATTCAAAACATTTTTACCAAACAATCATTTTGCATTCTGTACTAAATCATATAGAGCATCTCAATTATCCTGACCACTTAATTTTTCAGCATCTGCCAAACAGCCCTGCTTTTTGTGTATTTTAAATTTCACGCGTCTAGCAAGAACACTACTTCAATTAGCCTGGACACATCACACAAGAAAGATGTATGCAGCTCTATAACTCGATTGCAAAGGGATTGAGGGAAGTAGACACGAGATTACAACGATACTATAAAGGTATCTCTATTTTTGCCCTAAAGCTCTGGTTTTGTTTGTGTAGTTGATATTAACCTATTATTAGTAATATAGTAAACCATCTCAATTTGTATAAAGCTCATGTTGATTCTGTAAATTGTAATTGAATTTTAGTAATGTAGATGTAGTTCACTAGAGTAGACAGTAGCTTGAATGGTGAAAATTTAGTAATTAAAAGTTTACTACAGTAGAACAGGAGCTTGGTTTTAGAAATTAAAAGGTTGGAACATATAACATATTGATCATTGGTTTTGGTAAAACATATTGGTGAATGGTGAAAGACTAGCATGAATTTTTGCTTTATTTTTGTTAGTAATAGTCTGATTGTTATTGTTTCATTCAGATCAAATATAGATCAAGATGAATAATCAATCTACCATTCATGTCTTTTTCAAAAGAAAGCATGCTGATACAATTTGTAATTGGTGAATGATGACTAGCTTGTGACTCCTTGGCTGTTTTTGAATTAGTTCGTCGCCAATAATTGAATTGCAGGTAACCAATCGGTCACATAATATCTGTAGATGCGTAGTTCTATCCTCTCGAATCATGTGATATGATTATTCATATGAATTTAAATTTCGTAAAAATGTTAGTTATCAGGGATTTATGACACGCATGGAGTTCGGTAGTAATGTTCTTTTTCATGTTTCTATGCAGTAATTGTTTGTATGAACATGATGATGCGTCCCATGAATCCACCTCCATTTCAGCCGATTGCACCTGCGCCGTGGTTTCCACCATTGCCACCATTGACTAGTAGTTTCTGGAATGCAACAAATGTGCACGGTTCCCTGAAGGAACTACAAAACACTCTTGAACTTGCAGAAGCAATGTGAGTAAAAGATACTAATTTCTAAGATGATTTGTTTTAGTTTTAGTATAGCTTGTTTTTGGAAGTAAGAAATTCCCCCATTTTGTTCACAGTTTTCTTTGATTTTCCCCTAATTCCAACTTCAAGTCATCGAGTTAAGAGTTCTTAAACTATCATCGGAGATGTAAAATTGAATTATTGTGATAACTTACCATGAACATGAACCCAAAAGGGCCTTTGGCCTAGCGGTATCGTAGCCTTTGACCTCCTAGGAGGTTAGGGGTTCAAACCTCACCAAAGGTGAGGAGGGTGTGTGAGTTTATTTGTTGCATTTGCCGTATATAAATATTATATACTTCAAAAAGAACATGAACCCAAACTTTGTTTGACCATAAATATCAAACTGACATGCGTGTGATGCTTCTGAACAACGTAGGATCATTTCAAATGTAAAAGTTATTTTGTATGATTGAAGATGGTGTGTTAGATCTTTCCGATTTGTGTTCTTTACAGGGAGAAGGAGTTGGAGATGCTTATCACGATAAAAGGTGGGAACCAGCATTTAGAACAAACAGAGGACAAGGGATGTGAAACTGCGATGGGTAGATTCTTGAAGCTTCTAGAGAATAACAGGATAACGTTGGACACACAAGAAAAGATCTCTGTGGAAGCAGCAAATGCTCTAATGGCGAAGCTGAAAAACGAGGTTGAGCCATTTAAGGTTATTAGTGATGATAAAACGCCATGGGAGGAGAAATCTACAGCAGTGAGATTAGCGAATAAAATGCAGAAGCATAAGAGAAACAAACTCTGGCGGAAAAGAAAGAGACGGCGAATCGGGGAAATGATTGCAAAGGTGGTACCTCCGCTTGCACTTCTTTTTACAATAGTGATACTTGAGCTTACGTAGTTTTTGGTGACTTACAAGGAACTTGAGCAATTTGAACAAGCTGATCAAGAAGCCGATGAATGGAGGGCTAGCGAAATTGCAAAGGAAATCGCAGGGCGTAAGGTGATATAGAGGCTTGCAGTATATAATTTTCTATATTTTAACATTTCACTCGTTATACACGTAGAGGTGGTTTCATTTACAAACCCAACCATCAATATAAATCATACAAACCAATCTCAACCGTTCATCTAGTCTAATGAATATTTGATTCAATGAATATCTCGACTGTTTCCTAATATAAAACGTTGATCATAATAAATTAACTCTAATAAACTTCCATAAATATCCATATCATAATATCTCAATTGATTGGTTTGTACTAATGGTTGGGTTTGTAAATGAAAAGATCTCTATACATGGAATTTGAAACCTACATCATCACCATTTAAAATGTTTATATTTATTTGCTTAAGCCTTGATGTCGTTGGTACTCAAATGCAATAATGAGCTTTTTTTGAAGTATATAATCTTTGCATACGGCAAATACTCGAGTACGAACCTTTGGTGAGGTTTGAACCCTTGACCTCCTCGGAGGCTGGTTGTAGTAACCTGGATACCGCTGGCCATTGATCCTTTGGTGCAGTACAAAGTATTTATAACACTAATTGGCTAAATATATCTTTTTTTCTATCCTTAACTTATGATCCAAATTTTTCCATTGGTGTGTAGTTCCAAAGCACAAGTTTTCCAAATCTAAACAGAGAAAGTTTGTTTGCAGGTGGAGAAAATGAAGGAAATTGCAAAGCAAAAGGCTAAAGAGGAGCGAAGGAGATTAGAATCGGAGGTAATGATCTTGGATCTTATGTCAGTAATTTATCTTTAGTTTTTATGAGCTTGCTAACTGCTGATGTTTCTTTATTAATATGGGAAAGAAACTGCAAGGTGTTTGATCTATATGAGTATTCTGGACTTGTATGGCCTAATAACTTTGTATATTATTTGTTTCAACCATGGATAACCTCATGTTCTCAAGAATGTGAAGTTTACATATTATTAGAGAGTGTATGAGAGATGCAGGGAGGATTAGTTCATTGGTCATTATAATCCTCTGGACGGAACTTAGATGTTCATTTTGCCTTATTTCAGCTTGAGCTGGTGTTGATTGTGGAGAAGTTGCAAGAATTACGCTCCATCAGGATCCAGAAATTAACAAAGCAAGGTTTGTAGTAGGAAGACTGTCAGCTAAATAAAAATGCACATCTGAATCACTGAATGCCATTTATGTAGTTACTGTTTGTTTACCTCTTAGTAGTTCTATTACGAGACAATCTCTGAATGGCTAAGAGGTGAACCTTGTTTGGCAAAAAAAAAAAGTCTCTCTTAATGGTTCTAAAACCCTCTTAGTGATTTTGTATCATGGGCATTCACCACTCTAATTCCATTGTAAACAATTACTGAACAATTATATTTCATTTTGTACTATATCATGAGAGCCTCTTAATCATATGGACCACTTGATTATTCTGCACAAAACCATTCAACAACTGCCAAACAACCCCGTAGTTGGTTATCATGTTATTCGATAGTGATGATTTCAGATAACTAATACCTTATTAACACAAACTGACATACGAAATTATGCATGAGCGTGTGCTATAAACATTGTTCTAAAAAGCATGCCGTGGCATCTTGAGGCATTATTGCATAGGTTTTTTTTTAACGCCTTAGTTGACTTTTTAAGTTTATTTTTCTTAAAAGTTTAACATATTTTTTTTGTTTTTTACGTTTTAGGTTGGTATGAGCTCTTGATATAACACTTTTTGTAATCGCTCTATATATATGAGTTTTTGATATAACATGTCTGTGTGTGTATACATAATATATACATTTGATGTGCATACTTGCTGCCTTACATTTTCCATGAGGAAGATCATGTCGCATCACTTTAACTATGCTTTTGGTTTTATAATTGTGCAGGCCATTTTCTCCCGGAGGAGGACAACAAATTTCTTGAGAGAATTCGTGCTGCAGTTGAGGAAGAGGAGCGCCAAGCAATGGCTGCAGCCGACACGGGTGCTGCTAAAGAGGCCATTGCAACAGCCGAGGAGTCTCGAAATATAACCAGTGTACCTGCTCTAAACTCGGAAGATCAAATCAGTGTCAAAGATGGAGATAAAGCAAGTCAGGAAAAAATAACCGAAATTGAAGCAAAAGGAGGCTCAAGTGCAGCTGCTGATACAGAATCTAGGAAACAAGAATCCCAAGTTCCAGTCCCCAGCAGAGGATATGATTATTCAGCTAGCTTACCGCTTGAATTTTATCACTATTATCATGGAAGCAGTACCGACATGGGAACGCTAATTGAGGCAAGTTTTATAATTTTCATTTTTGGTTCCTTTACGTGTCTCATAAATGTCATATTTGTTTATAGAAATCTACATTTTGTCTTATTCTTGAGCAATCACTACAATGAAGTCGGCTTTATAGGACATTAAATGTGTCTAAGGGGCCGTTTACAAAACACTTACCCGATAAGCGCTTACCGGTAAAATTCAACACTATCACTTTCTTACCCGATAAGATTTTAGTCCACCAAAACGGCATTGGATACAACAATTTACCTGGTAAGTGCTAACCGTGGTAAGAGTCATCGTCCTCACTTACCGGATAAGACTCTCGGTCTTTGGCTCGTTCTTACCGGGTAAGATTCTTGGTCCTTGCCATATTCTTTCGGTAAGGTAATGTGGTCCTTGCCATATTCTTTCCATAAGGTAATGTGACTTGGTAAGCACTTACCTGGGTAAGCGTATGGTAAACAGCCCCTAAATGTTCTAATGAAATCTTTATAGAACTTAAGTTTATTTGACTAAACAATTGTTCGTCCTATATAAAGGTGTTACAATAAGTCGATAGTGGTGTCTTACCAAGTTTTATAAAGTGTCCCATTAGCCTTTTTATACAAGACAATTTGAGAAGTGTTCTATAAACACATCTTTTTGTAGACTCTTGTTTCTACAAAAAATTTCAAACAAGGTCATATAAAAAGACTGGTAGGACGTTATATTTCAAAACTGTCCTCAAAAAGTTGTTGGGACTTCCCATCAACTTATTGTAACACCTTTACATAGAAAACACAATTGTTTGGTCCTATAAACGCAAGTCCTATGAAACAGTCTATTAGGACATTTAAACATATTTGACTACTAACAAAATGATACAAGCATTGGCTACATTCTTTATTCAACTTGGGTTAAGCAGTCATGATTTCTATTACCTAATTACATGCAATTATAGAACCGTTTATTCAATCTCATCAAGTTTGATGTCTTGTTGCTTCCTGAAGAAATCCGTTTGATTTCAGATGATTTTATTCTGTCATACAGGTCAGACGAACATGGGATGCATATATAAGACCTGGAGGAAGGTGCGCATATTACGTTTTTCATACATTTCTCTCGAACCTAAACTGGCTTAAATCTTAGAAAGCACAAAAATCCTCTTTATAACATTGATGATTAACATCCTCCTTGCAAAGTTGCAGCTCTAATTATTTGGTTAAATATCAACTACGGGACTTTTTTGCAGTCGAATACCAGGTCACTGGGTTCAACCGCCCCCACCAGCTGATGAAATATGGGCATCTTACCTCGTGAAACCTCGATAACCTTTCACAATGGTCACATGAAGCTGTTAAGCCTTCGTAGCAGTTGCTGTATTATGGTATGTTTCATTTAAGCTTTCGGAAATACCAACATAACATCTTCTGCAATTCTAACAGTCCATGCTCAATTCACTTCTTTTTGCTAAAGACATATTACTGCACGTCTATGCAAATTATAAGAGTGTTTTATGTTGGAATAGTTATAGATACATACTCTGTATCTATACAAGTATACAGCTTTTGAAACTTATCATTGTATTCGATTCCCATTTGTGTTTTTGAGTAAATGTTATTGACCACTGAACCTCCTATGTTGATCATCTTTTGCCACTGCTACTTTCTGGCCAAAAACTACTTCCTCTATTTCAATGAAAAAGAGACAGATTTATGTGTACTATTACTCTTTTAATTAACTATTGGACAAATTTACCCTTCATAATTGGACCGCCTTTGGGCGTATAGCTCAGTTGGCAAAGGGGTCGAGTGACTTTGCTCAAATACACAATGGTTATATCGGGCGGTTTTTGGTCTAAATGAATGTTACTTGATCACATAACACACATTTTTCCCAAGGAAGGAAGCTGTGTAAGTTGACCATTGAAATTTTCACAAATGGAAATCAAGACCACATGCATGCATTTATAAACGGGTGATTGTGTGAGAATAAGAGTTATGGTAAGAATGGTAAGAAAAGTTTTAAGTTTTTGGATGGATTGACTTTTTAATTGAACTACAATTTAATGACATTCGGCTACCTTTAACTACAATTTTCTTCACTTTTAAGTCACTTTCACAAACTTTGCATGCATGAATTTGTTAAAGTTTCAATCATAATGATAAAAATAGGTAAATAAAAATAGTTGAACGTAGATGAATGTTTCTTCTCACCATAAATCTTATTCTTATTGGAACTCAACCTTGTATATGTAAACACCTATGCATTGCAGATTGTTTAGTGGCTTTGATCAATCATGAAGACGGGCAAGATTTTTCTCACTTCTATTCTTACAACCTTTAACCCTCAAACACAATTTATTATCACAACCTTTAACCCATTAAACACAATGTATCATCACAACTCCTCAACCTTAAAACACAAATATGAAATCACATCAAAGTGATAATATTTTTGTGTATGTTCAAAGTGGCAGTTCATTCCAGACGATAAACGGTGCCTTAGAGTATATGTCGTTAGGATCCCTCATACGTATATTACGTTTGCCTTCGCCTTCGCCAATAACACATTTTGGTTTGGTTAAACGTGTTGCGAAAAAAATTAAGTTTACGTAGTCCTTTCAGGTTATTTTATAAAGATAATTCCAGTCAAATCGTAGGCCACTAAATGACAAAATAGTGGTCAAAGTAGGTGGTTATAAAAATGACATTTTTCAGATATAATATCTGATTTGTCCCTCAAATCAGATACAAATAATTTTTTTCGTATCAACAATTATTAAAAAATATTAACATTCAGTGAGTTTAAAGAATATAATAAAAATATATAAAAACATTTGTTAGTTTATTTATGCGTTTAAAAGAAAGTAGTAAAATTATAAAGTTTGATGTGATTTCATATTGTGTTAAGAGTTGTGGTATATTGTGTTTAAGGATTTTAGATTGTGAAAGTAGAAGTGTTTGATTTTATAGAGAAAAAACCACAACATTTCGTCCTAAAACAGATAAGATACCAGTCAAAATCGTCCCCCGTTTATTGAAAAACGTCCCTTAATTGTCAAATTTATATCCTCACTAAAGGACAAAATAGCAGTCAAATGATGAGGTAGGATCGCCCTGGGGTTGTTCCGGGGGTAGAAGGGCAATCCCATTGTTTTATAAAAATCAAATTTTTTGTCCCCAAATCAGTTACATATGAGCCCCTTTTGGTACTTTTTTTGGTCAAATCGCCTCTGTATGGTTAACATGCCCCTCAAAGCGAAATCCTTATGGTCATTTTGTGTAAAAAGAAGGGAAAATGGCTATTTTGTTAATACAATACGTATAAATTGACTATTTTGATGATTTTCCCTTTTATTACGAGCCAAACATATAGCCAATCCAATCACCTTTAGTTTTCATGTCAAAACATAAATTGTTATAGATTTTTAACATATTTTCTAAAATTCCTTTAAAGTGGAGTCAAAAGTCAAAATTATTAAAAAGTTACATTCAACTTCAAAAGATTCTTTATTTTGAAGATTATAACATTATTTTTATTACTAAAAATATCCAATACATTTAATAATATATTATTTCTCTTTCAAAGACATTTAAGTTCAAATACTCATATTAGCGAGAATAACAAGATATCGTTTCTCACTTGGAAGCAATCATTTTGAAGAATTTTACTGTCTTTCTCTTAGTTTCCCGATTTTGATGAAGGTTCTGAAAAACCTGTAAAATCTTTATTTTTTCTATTTTAGAGAAATTAATATTCTGATACTTGTGACGGTATTGATGGTATAGTTGTACAAGAAAATTAGCAAGCAATTCAAGCCATTGGCACCATGAACTTGACAATAACTTGTACAATGGATTGGTAATAGATGTACAAAACAACCCAATAAAAGCTTTCTACATGAAAGACATAGAATAGGTGGTGACTTCAATACTAGTATTTAGAAGCCCTCAATAACACTCTTTGTAGGGGTGTTAAAAGAGGGATCTTATCCAATCCAAACAATTTATTGGGTTGAATTTTGTCATTAGATCAAATTCAATTATCATTGAAAAATCAATTCAATCTAGTCTAATTCAATGCACAATCAGATCAAACGGCCTATTCGTTGGATATTAATAATAGTTATCTATCTGATTGAATTGGATCAATCTAATTTTCAACCAATTGTTCATATATTTGCTTAATTTTTGAAAAAAAAAACATTATCTAAAAATATCAACTAAAACAATACTATGAGATATTATGAGATATGTTTTTTATTTGGTTTGTTAGATTCTGGATTGACATCTAAGAGCTAGTCGATCCAATTTGGATTTTGAATGTTTCGGATTTGATCCAATCCAATTACAGTAGGTCGTTTTTAATTTGATCGGATTAGTTTGGTTTTATTGCATTGTACATTGTCATTCAAGAACCGATTATTTTAATTCAGATGTTAGAATGTTGGGTTTGCTCTGATTCAATTAGAACCAACTAAATCAAATTATTTTTTACAAACCTCTACTTCTTTTAACATAAAAGTGAGTCATGATTTTTTTTTGGCAAACGAATGCCTATGAGAAAATTTAATATTTATTACAATCATATGAACTAATTAGTTTGTGGTAACCGTGATATCCAATCTCTACCACAAATCAATTATATAAATTAGGAAATTTATAATTTTGGTAATTTTGAATTAAAATTTTAATGCAAAGACATTTTAAGTATTTTCTCTCTCCTCTCCTCTTTTCTCTCTCTGTTCCCCGTCCTCCGGCCTCCGACCACCGTCTTCCAGTGATACCACAGTGGTATCACAATGCATCTTATATGTACTTGGGATCACACTGATGTTGTTTGTATGATCGATCGGAGATGTAACACAGTGATATCACAATGCATCTTATATGTACTTGGGAATCACAATGTGTCTTTTGTTTAGCAAAGTCAATATTTTTAGGTATCACAGTGGTATCACCAGAGGACGAAGGACGGAAAGAGAAGAGAGGAGAGAAAAAAATATCTAAAATATTCTTACATTAAAATTTTAATTCAAAATTATAAATTTTCTAATTTATCTATTGATTTGTGGTTGAGATTGAATCTCACGGTTACCACAAACTAGTCAGTTCTCTCTTGACTGTAGGGGTGACAAAAAATGACCCAACCCCCCAACCCAACTCAGAATTAGCAAGTTGGGTTGAGATTTTCAACCCATTTAAAAAATGGGTCAACCCGCCTAACCTATTTAAATAAATGGGTTGGGCTGGGTTAATTTTTTCGGCCTATTTTCAACCCGTTTACAACCTGTTTCCAACACATTTAAAATATTATATAATTTTATTAAAAAAATTCAACCTGTTTCCAACCCATTTAAAATTTTATTTTATTCTTAATATTATATCTAGTATTCTAAACTTTAATTTTGTTTTATTATTAATTAAAAATCCTACCGTCGTAAGATGAAAGTCTAAATTCCAATCGCCTCAATTACTCTTAATTATCATGAAACCCTAAGAAAACATTTTAATCCATTACTCCATTATCGCCTCCAAAGTCCAATCCAACTCTTTAAGAGAAGTAGATGATCAAGATGAAAGTAATGCCGAGAGTGAACTTAGGGTTCGTAAAAGTAGAAGTCGGATTACTTAAAATTTAAAATTTTCAAATTTATTTTGAACAATATATTTGTTATGGTTGTGTTTTATTCCAACTTAAACAATTTGTTTGTATTTGTATTTGTATTTGTGGTTGTGTTTTATTCAAAAAAGTTAAAAGTCTAGTCTTTTTTTTAATTTAAAATTAAATGGATCAACTCAGGTTCATCCATTTATTTAACAGGTTGGGTTAACAAAAAGTGATTTGCATCCTGCTACATGTAGTACTATAAGTAGCAGCTACAAATCCCTTTTGCTTTTTTTACAACAAAAATATGAAAACAACCCGACCTGAATATTGCAAAACAAATCCCTTAATATATTATTTTTAATGGAACTGTAGTTCTTACCATTAACATTTATTTTGTATCCAATTTGAAAAAGTTCATGAGTCTGCTTTTGTTCATCAGCTCAGGAATAGAAGCAACTAGCATAATAATAAACAGAACTCCAAAAACTAGAGACACAACTCTACAGCATGTAGAACAAAAGATGACAAACACCATCCAACATCCAAATACTATAGAGGAAAAAGGTCGACACCAAGAAAACTCCAATGCCACTTGAAAGAGTGAAAATCATAAGGCCCCAATTGAAACCATTGATTGATCAAATCAACATCAAAAATGTAAGAACAGAGCCTTAATAGTAGATCAAATCGGTATTAGAAATGTGTATATTCACCATGTGTAAGTAAGTACATAGCAATATCCTACTTGTATCCCTACAAATTTAACACACATGTGATGAAAACACGTCTTTTACATTTCAATGTTGATTTGATCTGTTAAAGGGTCTACCTTTTAAATTTAATGCTCATTTGATCCATCAAGTGTTTGAAATAGAGGACCCTCATGATCTACACATTTTCATGTGACGATAAAGTTATCTTGGTGTCGACCTTTTCCTCCATAGAATTTGGATGTTGGGTAGTGTTTGTCATCTTTCACACTGCATGTTGTGGAGTTCTGATTTTAGGATGTTACTATAAGTTACACCCATTCTCCAAATTTTTTAGGGTACCTACAGATATGGATAAAAACCAGCCAGGTGTATGGGAAATTGACTCAAATAGCTTTTTCACTCATTCAAATTGGTCTTCTAGCCATTCATCCTCCTGATTTACCCAATTGTTACTACATCTGCAATATTATGGACCTGGCTAAAAGAGAAAAAAAAATTCAAATTCCACCAAGTTAGCAAGTGGCACCGTCACAATTGCGGACCTAGCCGTCGTAATTGCAGACCTGGGTTGAATCTGACAATTTTTTTTTGTCTTTTAGCTCGGTCTGCAATATTACGGACATAGGGACATTCAGGTGAACCCGGGAAAGGAATGGCTAAGAGACCAATTTAAATTGGTGGAATTGCTATTTAAGTCAATTCCCCATATCCATCTCCTTTGCTTTTTCCCCCTACATGTAGTTTCTCCCAAAATAATACACCACACTTGGAAGCAAGTACACTTTGATGAGCTCCCCAACGTTCATGGGTTGGTCCCATGCAAGTAGGGGAAATTAAAGTAAACATTTCACACACTTTTCGCTACCGAGATTTTGCCGAAACAATTGTTCTACTATTTTGAAAAGGAAACAATTGTTCTACTCTTTTGAAAAGAAATCAATTTTGGTACATCTTACCCACCTCCGAGTGGGGTATATACTGGCTCATTTGGTTTGGTTTACGTCTCGGAATCTCACAATGAACTATTCAAGGTTCTCTTGAGGTATTTTCGTTTTAACCAAAAATGGCTTGCAAGAGATCAATAATAACTTACAACATTAACACTGGTCTAACACCAGAAAAGTATCATAAAAACAAATGTACTAGTAAAGTTTGGGTACCTTCAATGAGGAGGCAAAAATTGATGCAACACTAAAGACTGCGCAACCTGTGCATGAACAAAGAATATCCTCACGTATCAAGAAATCATAAAGAACATAAGAAAAAGATAAAGGCCACAAAGAGAACATTTTTCATAATGGTGTTTATCAAACACTTACCGGGTAAATGCTTTACCATTGTCACTTATCTTGTCGAGTAACATTCACGGCCATTAAAATGAATTGTTGTTAAACATCTTTTACCCGGCAAGAGCTTACCACACAAGTCCTTTTCACTTATCAGGTAAGATTCTAGGTACTTCCTACGCCTTTTAACGGGTAAGATTCATCGTACTTGCCATGTTCATAAATGACCTGTGGTAAGCGCTTTACCGGTAAGCATTTGGTAAACGGCACGTAAGCATCAAATTTACTTTACAGGAAACAAATTAGCAATGATGATGGAGAAAGTTTACCATATGAGAAAACACAGCTGCTGTCAGTTGTTGAATCTCTCTTGTGGATAAGCTCCTGCACACCAGTTCCTCACAAACTGCAAGTCTAACGAACCAAAAAGATGCTTCCAACTCAAAATAATATTCATACACCACTTCAAACTATGGTTTCAAAATCAAGATAAAGATCGGCAACAATACCGATCCTCACCTAACCAAGATTTGACCAAAGTACACCTACGATTATGAGCAAGCAAATCACCAGATCTAAAAGAGTGCATCTTATTCAGATGCTGTAAACTGAAACAACAAGAAGATCATCATGAAACCGAAGAGTTCAGCCTGGAAACCCCTGAAAGGACAATTTCATAGATAATTCTACTTCGAATCTAAATAAGAACAATATAATCCCTCAGTTTGTTCAATCAAGAAATCATAAACTTGAAAAGCTTGGAAACATTTCTATTTGGCTTGAATCAACGGTTTTTGGTCTTAAAATCCGTAACGAAAATTTTCAGTATAATATTGATTAAAATAGAAGCTCCAAAACGATCTAAATTTACATAATTTCAAATTAAACCACGAATCAGAACCTAATGAATAGAAGTGAATTAACAATCCATGATACTCATCAATTCATCGCCCTAACACTTAACAATTAACAAACTAGAGAAACAGAACACAAGATCTGGTGACTGCTGTTCCATCGACCAATAGATCACCTCCGACGACGGCCGTCGGAGTATTGTGAGAGAGGAACAACCTCCGCCAACGGAGTTGACAACGGCGTCGGAAGCGGCGAACTCCGACAAACAGGACATGTCGCATTGAGCTTCAACCAAGCGTCAACGCAAGTCAAATGAAAACAATGCTTACAATCAGGCAACATCCTCATCATCTCGGCCTCTCTATACTCGCACAAACAGATCGCGCATACCGAATCAATCGCCTTCGGAATCCCTCGCGTGAACAGAAACTTAGGGTACGAGTTGATCACAGATTGATCCAGTCCAATAACGACGTTCTGATCGTCGTTGTTGTCTTCGCCTACGAAAATTATACTTGGAACCATTACGCCGTTATCAGAACCACCGCCGTTAGGGTTTCGGATTTGACGACGGTGACTATGACGGTGACGGAAACAGATGTAGGAAGCCAGAAGGAGGGAGGAGAAGAGGACGAGAAAGCCGAAGGCGATGGCGATTGCGTAGCCGAGACCCAGGTTCGTTATGTAGTAATGCGTGGCGCTGGAGAGTGGCGGCGGTGGCGGTGACGGGAAGGGGATGGTGGTGGTGGTGGACATTGAAGAGAATGGTGGTGGTGGTGGTCCATTTGGAGGGAGAAAGAACGGAGGAGAAAGATTAAGCGAAGGGGGGGTTTTAGAGGGTGGCGATGATGGTGGTGGTGGTTGGGTCGCTGAGCTGCAACATTAAATGACTGCGGAAGAAATTATAGAAACCTCATTAATGGCCATTCCCCATCGCCATTCACATCAAACCCAAAATAATTTCATCATGGTTATGTTTTGCAACCAAGGGATTTGGATTTTTTTTTTTTTTATGAATTAAGTTTTTTTTTATGGAAATTGATATGAGGTATTTTATTGGTGTTGATCTTCAATTATGATTGATTTAAGAATGAAAATATATTTTACATTTTTCATCATAGCTTACATTCTCATTGGAACCCAACATATGAGTTAAGGGTTGTTTATTAAATGTTTACAGGTAAACATTTACTGGTATTAATTATCTTATGATTAAGCATAACATGAACCAAGAATCTTACTTTGTAAGTGATATAACAATGATCGAAAGTTCTATTGAGTAAGTGAGAAAAATGACTCTTACCCGGTAGCCTTTATCAAATTTAAGACGCTTATCAACAATTCATTTTGGTGGCCAGAAATATTACATGAGAAGATAAGTGAGAGTAATTTCTCTTGCCCGTAAAAATAGACACTTCTTTTGACTCAAACTAAAAGAAAAATATGTACAATTATTTTAGAACATATGGAGTATTTTTTATATTAGCTAACATATTAACTTATAAATTAGTCACATTTGATTAAAAAAAAAACAGTTGATAAGTTAAATGATAATATAAATGATCTAAAATAACATGTTTAAAAATTAATTATAAAAAATATTATTGGCACTAGAAGGATACTCGCGCAATGCAACGAGATAAATATCCATTTTAATGTTTAGTTTTTATTATTTGTATCGATATAATACGATTTTATGTGGTTTTGAGAAAACGGTAATGTTTTTATTTTTAAATGAAATATAAATTTGAAGATAGCATAAAAATTTGAAAAAAAATTAAATCGATATTAGTATGAAATTAACTATTTAATAGTTTTCATTTTTTGATATAACTTTTTTAATTCAATTTTTTATTATAATTTAATTTAGATTTAATAATAAAGTAATTTATTTTTAATTTAATAATATAATTTTTTTATAAAGATAATGATTAAACATTATGTTAAAATCAATGATTATCATGATTATATTTTAGATTTTCTCTATTTAAAATTGATGTTTATCTTATATTTGATTATGTTTATCTGCAGTTAGTTACACGAATTTAAAAATGAAGCTTTAATAAGTTAAACTTACGCAAAATTACTTGTAACCTTGAATTTTAAGCAATATGCATCAATAAACAGTACTTCATGCATAAAATAATGGTTTTTTAGAGTTTTTGTCAAATGTTTTATAATATAGTATAAATAACTGAAAAAAGTTAGATAATATCTTTCAAGTAACAATTTAAAAAATCATTTATAGTTTATGACTTATTTAAAGTCATACTTCTTTAAAACTAAAAATTATATCTAAATAGAATTTAATACAATGTATATCATCAATGCCATAGGTTACCTTAAGAAGTGATAAATATTTGAAAAATAAAGAAGTGATCTTAGTCTTTCACACAGTTAAAATCGGATTTGACCAGTCAAAAGCTGCGATTATGCGAGAAATAGAGGGGATAGTTTCATAACTTTTACACATATGCGGCATATGAGTTCATATATGAACATGTGTAATTCACATATAAACCATATGTTCATATGTAAACCCTATGTAATTCGCATATGAACATGTGTGATTCACATATGAACCCGTGGGTTCATATGTGAATCAGTTAAAATAGTTCACATGAGGAACTAATTAATGGTTTCACATATGAACATATATTTCATATGTGAATCAAACAGGTTCACATATAAATCCGTTAGCCGTCTATTTGTAAAAATTACAAAATTGTCTCTCTATCTTTTGTATATTCATACGAGGAATTATCTGGTGTTTCATAGTCAAAACGTCAGGATTAAGAGATTATTTCAAATTTATTATTTTCTCCAAAATTGTTGATAATAGTTGTAAAACTTGTATCAATTGATTAAGATGGGGATTTTGATCCCCTGTGTCGTAAGAGTAGAGCATATAACGATGAATGCACGTTTATATAAGCATGTGTAATGTATGTATTATGTATCTGTTTGTTTATTGCACAATTTCCACAATAAAAAACGATGCATAACAATCCAGACAACAAACTGAACGATTGCTTGTAATTCTCCATCACATACCTTTTTAAAAAAAGTTAATGTATTAATATATTTAGTGATACAACATTTAAGAACCATAATAATTGCTCCTACTTTCAACACGCCAACCGTTTTGCAACTTTGATTATAACTGATATTATCATGCATAAAACCTCCAATAACTTATGTTTGTCTTAAAACTATAATTTTTTTCTTCCAAAAATTTCACTAGCCATTGGAATAAGAACCGAATCTTATTCCTTTATAAGAATGTGGATGGATGGGGCTTGGAGTGAGGTCCCGGTATTCTTGAATCTCTAATCCACATATCTGATGACCATTCATTTTATTACTATGACATGTGAGGTCCTCGTTCTTCCTTTACCGATATTTATTTGCTATTTGTTTTATTTCCGTTCTTGTTGTCCTAAAAATCCGATATATAACCACAAGGGTGGTGTCTGATTGGTTTGAGCTTGACTCCAAATGTCAAAAGTACCAGGAGGTCTCAGGTTCAAATCTAAAGAGGAATAAAAATCTCCTTGTGGCCATGGAGGTTCAAATGCGGTGACTTCGGGCCATTTGCAAAGCAGGTGGTCGTCCTAGGATTAGTCGACTCACATAGCGGGTTGGATATCCAAGTTAATAAAAAAAAACCGATATACAAACTATAATCTTAAAAAAAATGTTATTTTAACACTGCCAATATATTAATCCATAAATTTCAATGAGGTAAGCTAAATACACCCTTACATGTTGGCTAAATATTTTATCTATTAATTTTTTTCTCATACACATCAACATGATGACGTATTTTTTACATTTTTTATACATGATTTGAACTGATACTAATTTTAATGATATAACAAATCCCCTTTCAACAATGTAATTGAGACAAAAAAACATATAACCACAAAGATTGTTGTCTTGTTCATTAATGATTCGTCAAAGGTTTGAATGTTGAAAAGATAAACCGAAAAAGTTTTGTCCTTTTTTGATGATTGTGGAGGAACAATTAGTTTGCCTCCATGTTATGGTCCAACTCCCTTTTGTTCATTCATAATGAATAAAACCAATAATTTATTAAATTTATAATTATTTTGTTAGTGTTAAGACTATTGCTATTATACAATACAATCATTATTTATAGCTGGTTATTTTTTATTTTTTTTATTAACCTGGATATTCACCCCGCTATGCGAGCCGACTAATTTCAAGGCTACCAAATGCTTTACAGATAGTTTGAAGTCACCGCATTTGAACCTCCGTGACCACAAAAAGATTTTTATTCCTTCTTGGATTTTAAAAAACATGTATTTTATAACATGAACAATTTAAGACGTTTAATTAAATATTATTTAAAATACCCGTCAAATATCTATTTATATTTATTACAATTATTATTATTGACCAATTTTACATACGGGTTGAAAGTTGAAACCATTTAATAAATACGTTTTAAAACATAATTTAAAGATTGATAGGTACGTTTTAAAACATAATTTAAAGAGATGATGTTGATGGAGGCAAATGAGTTATTACAATTGAACATTTTCGATGTCTTAACTATAAAAAAATGAAAAATAATTAATACGTCTATATAACTCGGGTTTATGCATATCAATTTTTTTAAATAAAATAACGTAATAAAATGTTACTATTTCAAATACTATATGAAAACTACGTTAATTTAAAGACTTGGTTTAACAAATTACAAATTTAACTCAAAGTCCGTTCCTTCTTTCTTGTCAAGCATTTTGCCAATCTAATCCCTTTTGCCCTCGTCCCATTGCTCACTAGCCCTGCCATTTTCACCCCTCGTTGGCGGGTTACGGTCTATCGACCATCGATAAATCAGAGATTACTTTTATTATTTTGTTTTTGTTTAAAGTTCAGTTTGCATGTGTTAACAATGAAGAAAAATATTTGATATTTAGTCAAACATTTAAAATTGCATTTATGTATTTTCACCATTAAACAAATATAATTAAAAGTTTTTTTTTATTATCAATTTTAACAAATTAGAGTATATGCTTTGTGAAGAATATTGAGGTATATAGAAGTAGTTAAATAATAGGGTTAAATGCATGAAATAGTAACGTACTTTCATAAAAAAATTTATTATAGCATTCTACTTTTGTTTTTCTTTATTACAACAATGTACTTTCAAATTATTTTTTATTTAGACATCACACTTTAAAAAATCTACCCATTATAGCAATGGGTAACATGTTACCTTTTAAACCAGTTAACTACTTGAATTATTTTTGCTTGTGTGACTTTAATGAGGTGATGTGGATAATACATCATTTTGATGACTTAATTAATATAAAAATAAAAACATATTTTCAATTATTATTAGTGATTTTCATTTTTCATTGCTATGATTTAAAAAAAAACATTTGATTTTTTTGACTTTTTTTATTAAGTTGCATGCAAATTAAATATTCTAGAGTAAAATATTTCTCAAATAAATATGTTACATTATTTTCGAGATATATTTTGTTTATAAAAAAGTAACATTTCTTATTTTATGTTGTTAAAAAAATACATATCTTTTAAAGTTCTCTCTATAATGTTAACGAAATAAATTGTGTTGTACAAATTTTTAATATTGTTATATTAATAAATAATTTAAAAAACCAATTAATTTAATATATTTATACGTTAAATAAAAGTTTTTGAATAAATATAATTTATTCTTTAAAAGATAATATCTTTTTGGTAAAAAAGAGAACAGTTCTTATTTTTTTTTTCTTTCAAAAAACTCATATTTTTTAAAAATATTAGCGAGATAAGTTGTTTTATATTAGTTTCTTTAATATTAATATATTAATGAATAATTTAGAATGTTTTTAATTAATTTAATATATTTATTAAATAACATATAAAATATCTAAATATTAAAATTAAAAGTACATTGTTTAATAAGAATTAATAGATGCTATAATAAAATAATTTTAAAAGTACAATATTGTAATAAGAAAGTCACATCACTATAATATATATGGACAACTTATGTGAACAATGAGGTGGCATGAAACCTGGTATAATGGGTAAATTTAAATCAAAATGTTACCCAATGTTATAAGGGGTAATTTTTTCAAAGTATAATATTCTAATAAAAAATAGTTTTAAAGTACATTGCTGTAATATGAAAAACTAAAAATACAATACTATAATAAAAAAAATTATAAAAGTAAATTACTATTTTATGGAAGTAGATTGCTATACACATATAATCTAGAGTTTGACTTTCCTCGTACACTTTTGGTCTTCAATTGCTCTACTAGTAATGTTGACTTTCATGGTGCAATTCATCCTCACTGTCACATATTTGTTAATAAAAGTCAAGATTTTGACCCTGCCACCGACTCTTGTGTAGCTGCTCATTGTCAATAATCCTCTTCCTAGATCACTCTCTAAGTTAGGGTTTCCCAATATACTGTCAACCATGATGTCCACTGTGATGTTCATCCTCGTCGTCCGTCGTGCCTTCGACCTCCCTGGCGGCCCTCGTGCCGCCCCTACCACCGTCCCGTGGTAGTATAGACTCGTTGTGGTGTTCTTGTACCTAGATCGGTACAGATTATCACGTATCGAATACAAATTTTGGATCAAACATTCGAATTTGAAGTAGAGTTGACGGAAATTAGAAATTAACATTTTGATTTGACCAAAACTTGAACCGATAGAGACAACATTTGTAAGTGTGCACTTCGCATCTTCTAACTCACGTATGTTTACCTCATCGCCTTAATCGATGTCAAGTAAATCACAATTACACCAAAACGCTTGATGACACTAAAATCACCAACAGACAAATCGTTGCTAAAATACATAATATATTAATCAAAATGTGTTCGTCGCTGACCTGAAAGATGCAAAATTCGGGTTCTTAACTGATATATCGGCTATCAACGACATGTTGGTTCCTGGTTGAGGGATGGTGCCATTGATAAGGTTGAAACTACGATCAACCATGACACTATTCATTCTGATCTCTGGTTCTTTAATCTTAAAGACCGTAAAGATCAAGATAACCAGCAACACAAGTAGGAGGATTACGACAGTAACCATGTAACCGCACCACTTGATCACGTGGTTCCTTCGTTGCAAGGTGGTTTTCTCTAAGATTGGTTCTTCATCATTGGCTGGAGCCAGTGGTCTCACCTGCTCTCTTTCATCCATGTTTAGATAGCTAGGCAAAGGTATGTGTACGGAGTTTGGGGTTTTATGCGGATACAATCTTCGTGACATATTTAATTTTTAGAGTCAAACATCTGATTAACGGATTCATACGTTAAATATATTGAGTTTTTTTTGTTTTGTTTACATACTCAAGTGGTTGTTTGTTTACCTCTTAATAGTTTCATTAAGAAGCAACCTCTAAATCGTTAAGAGGTGAATCTTGTTTGACAAATTTTTTTTGCCTCTTAATGGTTCTAAAACCATCTGAATGATTTTGTATCATGGATCTCCCTTGACCATTAAGAGCCCTAATTCCATTGTATATAATTACAAAACAATTATATTTCATTTTGCACTATATAATGAGAGCCTCTTAATCATTCTGACCACTTAATTGTTCTGCACCAAATCATTCAGTTTTTCGTTGTAAAAAATAATACAAAAAGAGACTGTTTTTGCAAAAAAAAAAAAATTATAAACAAAATGTAAAATGCAATATTTGATAAATAATCTTTAAATAAATTACAATTTGCAAATTCATCGTCATATTATTAAATTACTTGTATGTTTTTTATAACTAATTTGTTGATAAAATATAATTAATAACAATTTGAGCATGAAAATGAAAATGAAAATAAAAATAAATAATTAAAAAACTAACCTTTCTAAATCATAAAAAAAAAAATCTTAAGTATAAAGAAATAAAATACAATCTCTTGAAACATGTGACTAACAAACTAAACAAAGTATTAGTTAGGGATCTATGTTTTTCTAAAAATAACACTTAACCACCTTTGAAATCTGACCGATCAGACATTTACTGATTCAACATGTTTGTTTTTTTTTAAATAAGAGCTTGAAAGCTTTGTCCTTTCTCTAAATTTTTAAGTGATAAAGAAACCCCTTAATGCCTCTTAAATCATAAACGTTTCTCGCTTATAGATCTCGCTCTCAAGCTTTCTATCTCTGCTCAAGCTCTCGGTCGTCACGATCTCTCGACGAGATACACGGCCGTCGAGTTTGTCGAATCAGGCATGGTTCTCGGCCTTGGAACAGGTTCACCACCAAACACGCTATAGACCATATCGGAGAACTTCTTTGGTAAGGAAAGCTTGTTGACATCATCGGAATACCCACTTTGACGCAAACCCATGAGCAAGGTTTATCTCTAGGGATACCTCGGTCGGATCATGATACCCACCCGGTTCTTGATTTGGCCATCGATGGAACAGATGAAGTCGACCCATATATCCATTTGGTCAAAGGATTGTGACCGGAGAGTTGGGAGTTAGGTTTAGAAATAAATGTTTAATAAATATTAAGAAGAAAACGACTGGAAACCATAAAATTAAAAAAAAAAAAAAGATTATAAAAGAAATATGAAATTGTTAAATTAATTTTAGAAAAATAAAATATCCTGGGTAAAAAGAAGATATATTGAGTAAAAATAAAACCTAAATTATAAACGTAAAACATAAAATTTAATAACATAAAATCTTAAATTAAATTTTATTATATAGAAGGCTTGGATTATGAAATCTTACATTAGATTTCAAAAAACAAAGTAATGACTTATATATAACTAGAAGGATACCCATACAATACAGCAAGATACATCGAGATCATGTTTTGTTTTGTTTTTTTGTCTCTGTCGATGTAATACGGTTTTATGTGACTTTAAAAAATGACAATGTTTATATTCATAAAAATTTGAAAAAAATATAAATCGATATTAGTATCAAATTAACTTTTTAAAAGTTCTCATTTTTTATCATAAATTAATTTAGGTTTAATAACAAAGTAATTTATTTTTGGTTTACTAACATAATTTTTATAAGGATAATAATTGAGTATTCTGTTATAAGTATAACTCAATGATTATCCTAATTATATTTTGTATTTTTTATATTTAAAATGAGATGTTTATCTTGTAGTTGATTATGTTTATTTATAGTTAATTAAACGAATTCAAACATGAAACTTTAATAAACACACATTTTACTTATAACCTCGAATTTTAAAGTAATATGCATCAATGATAAGTACTTCATGCATAAAAAATGGTTTTTGAGAATATATGTCAAATGCTTTATAATATAGTATAAATAAATGATTTTAGCCTTTTATTTGGTCAATATTTGCGACTTTAACTTTGAAGTATCAGATATTCCTCGTATGGGTATACAAAAGATAGATGGGTAGTTTCGTAACTTTTACAAATATGCGACAAACTGGTTCAAATGTGAACTCGTGTGATTCACAACCAGTGAATTAGTTCATATGTGAATTAGTTAATTAGTTCATATGTAAATCACAAGGGTTAATATGTGAATCATATTGGTTCACATATGATTCACCAAAACCCTTTTATAAAACCTATATTCGTATATATAAATAACAAATAAACAACGTTTTGACAAAACAACCCTCTTTTGTCACATCAAACCAGAAAATACTCATGTATTGCATAACACAAAAATTTAATGCTTCATATAAATCAAACCATAATTCCCTCACATCACATTGGGTGAGACAACCTCATTTTCTCGCAACATGCTGGTGCGAGAACCCAACTCATAGCATCACACTGGTGCAATCAACATACATTGAGTGAGACAACCCCATTTCCTCACAACACGCTGGTGCGGGCTCCTATCTCATCGCATGACAATGGTACGATACACAACTTAGGTGAGACTACCCCATTTCCTCACATCATACAGATGCGAGAACCTATCTTCACATCCCACAGGTACCATAAACACAACTTGTCGCATCACAAGGATGCGACAAACACACTCCTCCCGTCACAAGGATGTTATAAAAGCAACTCATCGCATCAATAGGATGCGATAACCCACGGTCATCGCATCACAAGAATGCGATAACAAGTCCTTGCATCACATAGATGCGGTAACTCAAGGGCATTGCATCAGAAGGATGTGATAACAATTTGATATATGATCAAAAACCCAGAATTTACATTCCATTAATTAAGCAACACTTATCTTGGTATACATCTCTCCTTGATATGCCACATTTATCTAAAATACAACTCTCCTTGATATGTCACCCGTATAACCAAAATACACATCTTCTTAATATGCCACCTTTATTCCATTTACTTGATAAAATCATATCAAAACCCAGAATTATGCTAAAAATAACATAACATTAGTTTTTTAAACTTTTCATATAAAGAACCATATGGTTCTATTTTCGACACTAAAAAATGAAAGCTTTTAATAAAAACTCACTTTGTTCCACAGAGTAGCAATTAAACAACAACAATTATTCAAAACTAGAATCACAGAATCAACTTTTTTCTTCCTTTTTCGGTTTTGTTTTGCTTCGCCTCAAAACACACACACACGGAAGCTTTTCTTCGCTTTTACCATCTTTTTCACAAAACCCTATGAGATAAAACAATATCTCATATAACAATTATAAACCATAAGAGGTTGTGGATGAATAACAAAGCAAACCCTTCAACTTCTACCTTTGATCAAAAACAACCCCGAACTTGTAACCGATAAACCCGGTTATCACATTACATATGATTGTTTATAAATATATAACAGTAAAAGAAATTTTATTGGAGGCCCTTGGAGATCGGAGGCTGTGTGCGGTCCTGTTGTCTATGATATAATACCAAGTACAATGACTTAAAAGATGAACCCCAAATTTAATAAGTGTTTAGTTAATCTAGTTTGAATTCATAACTTTATGTTATTAGTTACTATAAAATACAAGTAATAGGGTTGTTTGTTTACCTCTTAATAGTTTCATTAAGAGGCAGCCTCTGAATCGTTAAAAGGTGAATCTTGTTTGATAAAAAAAAATCGGCCTCTTAATAGTTCTAAAACCCTCTGAATGATTTTGTACCCTGGGCCTATCTTAACCATTCAGTGCCCTAATTTTGTTGTAAATAATTATCAGATAATTATATTTCAGTTTGCACTATATCATAGGAGCCTCTTAATCATTCTGCATCAAACCATTCAGCAACTGTCAAACAACCTCTTATTGCAATTAAATGTTAATTTAAATATTTGATTTGTAATCAAGTAATTTGAAATAAAAAGTACCAAATTCTTTTTTAAAATATTATATTTATTTTAAATAAAAACTATATGACTGATAACAAAAAACGTTTTTTAGAGCATCTTCAAAAAAAAAAAAAAAAATTTAAAATCGTAATAATTGAGATTTTATTTTTTGTTTTGCTCTAACATACTACAACAAAATTGAGTTTATAAGACGCAATCAATAAATAAGTGTATTAATAAACTGATTTATAAGACTTAGTTTATATGACTAAGAACAATAAAAATGTCATACCAGACGTTGTAATAAGTTTATAAGACGTTTTTAGACGTTTTAACGAGTTTTTAGGACATTTTTAATACAAAGAGTCAAATTAGTTATTTTATCAAAGTTGTCCTATAAACCAATCTTTTTATAAGACACTTGTGTTTGTAAGACACTTTTTCAAATAGTGTCAAATAAAATAGCTAGTATGACGTTTTCTTTATAAAATTGTTCTAACAAACTTGTCACTACATCAAAAAACGTTCTATAAACTTATTACAACGTTTTGAGATATGATGTTTTATTGTTTGATCCTATAAATTATGTCTTAAAAAATGTTCTACTATGTTGCTTATTTATTGATGCCGTCCTATAACCTCAATTTTGTTATCGTGACAAATCATATATATTTTTCTCTAGACCAAATAAACAAAATAAAACTCTAAAATTAATAGAATCCTTAATTTTCATTTATGTATATTTTCATAGAATATATCATTAATCCTTCTGCAACTTTAAAATTCAGAAAATAATCCAACATTCTCGTTTATAACTTTAAGATTCAAAGAATAGCCAATCAATTTTTATTTAAGTTTTTGAATATACAAATAATAATTTCATCAGTTTTTCAGTAATCTTTAGAAACTCAAATAATAACCTATCGATTTTTATTAAAACTTCAAATATAA